GGAAGCGGCACAGGTCCTAATCCAGGCACTTGTCATCTCCCGTCTGGATTACTGCAACTCGCTGTTGGCTGGGCTCCCTGCCTGTGCCATTAAACCCCTACAACTCATCCAGAATGCCGCAGCCCGTCTGGTGTTCAACCTTCCCAAGTTCTCTCACGTCACCCCGCTCCTCCGCACACTCCACTGGCTTCCAGTTGAAGCTCGCATCTGTTACAAGACCATGGTGCTTGCCTATGGAGCTGTGAGGGGAACGGCACCTCCGTACCTTCAGGCTCTGATCAGTCCCTACACCCAAACGAGGGCATCCACCTCTGGCCTGCTGGCTCCTCTTCCACTGCGGAAGCATAGTTCCCGCTCAGCCCAGTCAAAACTGTTCGCTGCTCTGGCACCCCAATGGTGGAACAAGCTCCCTCACGACGCCAGGACAGCGGAGTCACTCACCACCTTCCGGAGACATTTGAAACCCCACCTCTTTAAGGAATACCTGGGATAGGATAAAGTAATCCTTCTACCCCTCCCTTACCCCAACCCCCCCCCCCCCCCCAAAAAAAAAAAACATTGTAAAGTGGTTATCCCACTGGCTATAAGGTGAACGCACCAATTTGTAAGTCGCTCTGGATAAGAGTGTCTGCTAAATGACGTAAATGTAAATGTAAAATGTAATGAGTGAAGGAGGCTTAGTTGCGAAATAGGAAGCCGATTCTAGATTTAACTTTGGATTGGAGATGCTTAATGTGAGTCTGGAAGGAGAGTTTACGGTCTAACCAGACACCTAGGTATTTGTAGTTGTCCACATATTCTAAGTCAGACCCGCCGAGAGTAGTGATTATAGTCAGGCGGGCGGGTGCAAGCAGCGTTCGATTGAAGAGCATGCATTTAGTTTTACTAGCGTTTAAGAGCAGTTGGAGGCTACGGAAGGAGTGTTGTATGGCATTGAAGCTCGTTTGGAGGTTTATTAACACAGTGTCTAATGAAGGGCCAGATGTATACAAAATGGTGTCGTCTGCGTAGAGGTGGATCTGAGAGTCAACAGCAGCAAGAGCGACATCATTGATATACACAGAGAATAGAGTCGGCCCAAGAATTGAACCTTGTGGCACCCCCATAGAGACTGCCAGAGGTCCAGACAACAGGCCCTCCGATTTGACACATTGAACTCTATCCGAGAAGTAGTCGGTGAAACAGGCGAGGCAGTCATTTGAGAAACCAAGGCTATTTAGTCTGCCAATAAAAATGCGGTGATTGACAGAGTCAAAAGCCTTGGCCAGGTCGATGAAGACGGCTGCACAGTACTGTCTTTTATCAATCACAGTTATTATATCATTTAGGACCTTGAGCGTGGCTGAGGTGCACCCATGACCAGCTCGGAAACCAGATTGCATAGCAGAGAAGGTATGGTGGGATTCGAAATGGTCGGTGATCAGTTTGTTAACTTGGCTTTCAAATACTTTCGAAAGGCAGGGTAGGATGGATATAGGTCTGTAACAGTTTGGATCTAGAGTGTCACCCCCTTTGAAGAGGGGGATGACCGCGGCAGCTTTCCAATCTCTGGGGATCTCAGGCGATACGAAAGAGAGGTTGAACAGGCTAGTAATATGGGTTGCGACAATTTCGGCGGCTAATTTTAGAAAGAGGGCATGGGCATGGGCAAGTTGCAGCGGAGGGTGCAGAGCTGGTGGCCGGGGTAGGGGTAGCCAGTTGGAAAGCATGGCCAGCCGTAGCAAAATGCTTATTGAAATTCTCGATTATCGTCGATTTATCGGTGGTGACAGTGTTTCCTAGCCTCAGTGCAGTGGGTAGCTAGGAGGAGGTACTCTTTTTCTGCTCCCTCTGACCAGCAGAAACACAAACAATGATCACAAGACCCATTCTGGTTACCCTCACCGATTCCACAGCACCCAACTCTGTTTTCACCCACCCTGAAACCACAAATGGATCAGCCAAAAGGCAAGGGTCCACTTTTTCCAAAAACTTCACTGCTACTGTCACAGACTCATCTTTATCCTGACCCTCGGTGCAAGCATCAGGCTCAGAGAACATCACCACACCTAACACCTCCGATACTTCGCCCTCATTCACTTCCAGTTCTCCTCCTGTCTTCAACTCACTCTGCTTACACTTTCTACCATTCTTCTTTAACAAACCATCTCCCTTTTTTCCCGCCATTTTTAACCGACTCAAGCTCACCCTCTTCCTCCCCCTCTCTCTTAGACCTCCTCTGCCTCTCTTTTTCCCTCCATTCCTCCTCCATATTCCAAATATAAGTCTCCTTATGATAATACTGCACTTCTCCTGACATACATCTTGTTCTTGCCTTGTCAAGGGACGCCATTTAACTGGCTGTCACAATCTCCGTACAATCAGCACGAACCCCTCAGGATGTAGCGCTCAACAGTCCATCCCACTAATAAAGCCAGAGATCGAAGCTTGCATCGATGCATGCTTCAAAATATGTCCAAACGCAGTACGCATTAGAGAAGTGCCCTCCGTGCTCCGTTTCGCATACTTTGATTTGGACTCGTACTCTGACCCTCCTGTGCTCCAATGTGCGTGCTCGGAGCACAGTAGTATGCATTTTGAGAAACACGCCATGTGTGTACATTATACGATCAAATAGTGAGAGAGAGCCTCAATCACATTTATTTATTCACTGTACACATGAATTGAGGCAAATTAGTTCCTGTTTCAGTCACGTCTTTGATCACATTCGCATGGGTCAAACAAAAACACACTAATGATTGGTTGACAATAGAGCCTCCCACAATGCAGGTGATGGCTGCTGGATGAAGTTGGTGAAGAGCAACTGCAGAAACTGACCTTTGATCACATGATTTCGTCAAGTTCATGTAGTCGACATGAATGCAACACACTTTGAAAGGCGGTGACCGACTTGATAAAAGTAATCCACTCGAACGCGTCCATTAACTACTGTAATCATGCATGGAATCTGGAGCGTTGAAGCACCAACACAACAATCTGCTGCAAACTCTTCTGACAGTGGACATCAGTGGCAGTCAGTGCCTTTAAGATGAGGGAGGACGATTTTTTTTCATGAGCATGGCCTTTATTTCTATTACAGCATATTGGATGACTGTCATTCATATTCCATTCACCCAGTTCAATGTAACAGCGATAGGTTTAGGCTACTACATGATACTCAAATTTTCCCTATACCCATCATGAGGTTGCTACAACCTAGCCTATGAATGACAGTTTACAACGTAGGTGCACACAGGTTGAGAGACACATTTGAGGTGACAGACAGTGACACATGGACATACAGTGACATTCAATACCGGCTTGCACACTCTTGCCTGCATCTAGCTGATATAGGGTGAAATCATTAGTCCAATAGTTGCAAACAATAGTTTTTATTGGACAAATTCAGGTATGTTTATCCCTGTTTTGTTCCGTTTGCTTACATTGTTGTCACCATATTAGCTAAAGTAACGTCATAGTTAGCATAGCTAATAGAACTAATGCATTAGTAAACCTGCTACAATCATGCTGTAACGTTACATGTCTTTGTGGTTATGATATTTATTTTTATTTTGACGTTATAAAAGAAGCTTATACCGGGTTCCGACACCAATGCTTTCTGTTTCATAGTTGTAACAAAGGCCTTGTTTTTTTTATACATACATATATCCACATAGGCGGTCCCATGACAAAAAAACGTGCCCCCCTATGGAAATCAAATGCCCGTCCAACAGATTTGTTCTGGCGCCGGCCCTGTTCTGGAGGCAAACCTCCTAACAGTAATACTACTTCTATCTGAACATCAAATGATGTTTATTGCTGACCAGCAGATGTCACTAATGTGCATCGTGTTAAAAGCTCCAAAGTTTCTTTGGCACAATTTGGTGAAAGCCCCAAAGGCTTCAGAAAGCCTTGTTCTCCCATCACTACTTCAAACCTCTCTGCCAGAGGAAGAGGCTAAGCGAGAGGATTTACTCTGCCCAAAATCTGTCCACATTAAGCAGATCATTCATGATTAAGCAAGTGAGGAGTTTTTGTATGGAGGGCAATTAGTGTCGAATTTAGTCAAGATAAAAATGAATTGCTATTTTAATACGTGAGGCTTATTTGATCTAATATAAGTTTCGTAATGCTTAGGTTGTTAGGAGTGTACTGATATAAGTGTGATGCATGTGACATCCCGGCAACAGTTTATATTGGAGTTGTCTGCTGAAATTTGAGACGGCCTATGCATATTCATGAGGCTAGCATAGCATCTCTCTCTCCATTGAATACAGGTGGTTGACATCAACATCCCCATCAAATATTTTAAAAAGTATTCACATAATGAGATGTATCCACCAATCCAAAGACAGCCCACCGTTCTGCTCTGTGGACAACGAATCCCATTGTTAGGGCGGAGACACAAGCAAGCACCACTTTTGATTTTAGGTTCCTACAAATCAAAGTTTAGGAATTCCTGACTTTATGAGGAAACTAGGCAGGGTTACAATTATAGCGGGGCTCGGATAAACAAATACCCATTAACAAATCCGAATTTCCCCAGGCCCACAATAATTGAAACATCAAAAACATATACTGTGGGTTGTAGTTATGATCTACACCAGGGTTCTTCAATTCCGGTCCCGGAGGGCCGAAACACCTCTGTTTTTCATCCTCTCCTTCTAATCAGGGGCTAATTCAGACCTGGGACACCAGGTGAGTGCAATTAACTACCAGGTAGAAATAAAAAACAGAAGTGTTTCGGCCCTCCAGGACCGGAATTGAAGAACCCTGATCTACACAGTAATTGGACATTTATTTTTATAATTTTGGCATACACCAAGAAAAGAGACGTTTTCCTCTGTGTCCTTTAATTCTTCTACATAAAAGAAACCATCATGCATTTTTTAAATCAGACAATATTCACTATTTATTGACATCACTGTTATAGAAAATCAATTATATGAGCGGGAGAGAGATATGGTTTTGTAGCGTACATACATTAGGGATGGGGATTTGGGATTGGTTCTGGGGCTAAACTAAAGCACTGGGGGAGAGAGAGGTCCAGGTCTCTTATGGCTGATAAGAGGAAGTTGACTGCACGGAGTCATGTCCCTCTGACTGCAGGCTCTAGTCGGAGTCACTGCTGCAGGAGCTGCTTGAACACTGGATGGAGGAGAAACAGAAAAGGCACACACTTAATTCAACAAAAGTTTGGGGTCACTTAGAAATGTCCTTGTTTTCGAAAGAAAAGCAAATTTTTTTGTCCATTAAAATAACATCAAATTGATCAGAAATACAGTGTAGACATTGTTAATGTTGTAAATGGCTATTGTAGCTGGAAACGGCTGATTTTTTATGGAATATCTACATAGGTGTACAGAGGCCCATTATCAGCAACCATCAGTCCTGTGTTGCAATGGCACGTTGGGTTTGCTAATCCAAGTTTATCATTTAAAAAGGCTAATTGATCATTAGAAAACCCTTTTGCAATTATTTCAGCACAGCTGAAAACTGTTGTGCTGATTAAAGAAGCAATAAAACTGGCCTTCTTGAGACTTTTGAACGGTAGTGTAAATTCTTTCAATTTAACAGAGATGTTACTACGTAGCACCTTCAATTAGTTTTAGACTAAAAATATGTAACTTACCCCATGACTCTGCTTCCCTTGCTTGTGACAACCACCATGCAAATGCCCATGCTTGTGCCTGTGCCTGCCTCCATGACCGTGCCCATGACCGTGCCCATGCTCATGGCCGTGCCCATGCTCATGGCCGTGCCCATGACCATGCCCATGGCCGTGCCCTCCGCGACCGTGCCCTCCGTGTCCTCCATGACCGTGCCCTCCGTGTCCTCCACGAGGCCCATGACCGTGTCCATGATCATGGCCGTGAGGTCCGTGCCCATGCCCATGACCGTGCCCATGATCGTGCCCATGCCCATGACCTCCATGGGGACCCTGCACTGGATAGGATGGTGGCACAGGGTAGCAAGCAGAGGGGGGCTGGTAGGGAGGGCATACTGGGGGCTGGATGGTTCCAGCGGGGTACCCGCCAGGGTATCCCCCACCTGGCATTGGCGGTTCACACCCGCTTGGGTTCACATTGTAGCCAGAGGGATGCTGGTTTCCTATACAAGGAGAGATTCATATAGAATATGAGCCAAATTACCTACACTATAAATTGTAAGAGTGGTACAGACAAAGGAAATGGGTTTGCAAACATTTACCTTGGTTGTGACCCCACATCTCGATGTTTCAGATCAAAACCCTGAAATGGAAAAAATACTTATGCATTATTATGATTATGTTTTGCTAAAATGGAACCTAGAGATGGATGAAGTCCTTATCAACATATCGCCACCTGTTTTGTGTCACAGGGCAGGGCTACATTCAGTCACAGGTCACATCTAACCAGTCTGACTGGTTGTGGAAAATTTGCAAACATGTTGAACAATAGTGTACTAGACAGATGGGGCTGCTGGCTGCACACTAAAACCAATGTTCCATTCCAGGGAAAGCAACAGTGGGGTGTTGGCCAACATATATATTTTTGAATCCTTTTGCAATGCTTTTTATTCATGTAGTTAACAGGTAAATACTGTCTGCACAGATACCTTTATAAACAGTTTTTCTCAGATACTTATAAAACATAATTGCTTTGACATTAATGTCAAGATACTGTATATAATATGGTATTTCAATGTAAGTTCTGATGGCATTCTTATAGATTTCCACTGGATGGAGCATTGAAAGCACTGAGGTAATCAGTAAGCACCAAAGTTACTGAATTAATTGATATTTTATGCAGGTACTAAGTATTTATCCCAGTATTTGCTGGAAAATTAAGCACTAACAAGGGTCAAATAAACAACTTTCTTGATGACTTAAGAATTAGCATTATTGCAGAAATCGCACTTTTCCAGATGGAATACAACATTTTAGCTTTGTTTTGTTTTTGGTCTTTTATTCCATCTGGAATATTACAGGAATAAACACTTAGTAAACATGTCCCTAAGTTGGTAAAAAATCACATTAAGAACAAAGAAAACAGGAAGCTAATTGTTCGCTATTTGTCTTTCTCCCCTATGATCTTACATATTTCCCTGCATTGGCAATGTTAAAGTCTCCCATAGTTCAAAGTACTGTAACACATCAATTAAAGAGCTAGCTTTATCAATCATGTTTTACATGTCTCTTTAAAAAAACATGGTTATTTTAAATTAAAGTGTCAAAATAAGGCATATTTAGAAATATTGTACTTACTGTGATGTAGTTCCAGTCAGGGTTCTGTCTGCATGGCTTCCAGAGAAATAACTCTTAATTATACTGTAGAGAGAGACACACCTTTACACCTCACTTCCTTCACCACTCCCCAAATCTCTCATCATAAACTAAACAGATATCTGTCCGTGTGTGTGTGTTTGTCGAGGGGGCGTGAGGGTGATGGCAATAGAGGGCCAGTCATTTTTATGTTTTTATGTAAATTGATGAATGTATAAAATAATTGGCCAATATTTATTTCATTTGACAAAGAATTCAGTTTCAATTAAATAGTGCATATGGTCCATTGGGTTTTATAAAATGTATTATAATGTATTATTTATATGTACTGTATATGCGATATGTATACTGCAATTCAGCTTTTAGCTGCAATATTCTCTTCTCAGGTCTTAATAATTTTGAAAATGTATTTGATGGCAACCAAATATTTGATGAAGAACCAGAAACTACAACAGTTAGTTGAATTAGTCTAAATATATGATCATACGCACATGGTTTGGAGGGCTCTTAGATATGAATCTTAATATAGCCTAGAATTAAATACATGAGGGAGATGGAATCACCTCAACATTAGAGTAGACCACTTTTGCGGCTTCAAAATGACTAACAAATACATTTTCATAATGAGTGAGACATAAGGTAATACAGTAACACAGCATTAAGTTCTTATGCATGTGTAGTAACTTTGTGATTATTACGATAGCAACACTATTGTTACTTACATAGGACTGTAGAAATTGCTTTATAATGGCATAATAATAGAGTTATTACATAAGTGGAACAAGGAACAGTCACAATTCCTCTTGTGTACAGTAGTTACAAAAACTCTTAGCTCATTGCTATGCAAATAAAATGCAATTAGCAAAGTATTATGTAATAACATGCTAATAAAATGTTGCTCAAAGTAATTACAGTTTTATTACAAAGGCACAAGAACAGTTGATATCATTGAACACTTCACTGCTACTGTCACAGACTCGTCTTTATCCTGACCCTCGGTGCAAGCCACAGGCTCAACACCTAACACCTCCGATACTTCGCCCTCATTCACTTCCATTTCTCCTCCTGTCTTCAACTCACTCTGCTTACACTTTCTACCATTCTTCTTTAACAAACCATCTCCCTTTTTTCCGCCATTTTTAACCGACTCAAGCTCACCCTCTTCCTCCCTCTCTCTCTTAGACCTCCTCTGCCTCTCTTTTCCCCTCCATTCCTCCTCCATATTCCAAGTATAAGGCTCCTTATGATAATACTGCACTTCTCCTGACATACATCTTGTTCTTGCCTTGTCAAGGGACGCCATTTAACTGGCTGTCACAATCTCCGTACAATCAGCACGAACCCCTCAGGATGTAGCGCTCAACAGTCCAACCCACTTATAAAGCCAGAGATCGAAGCTTGCATCGATGCACGCTTCAAAATATGTCCAAACACAGTACGCATTAGAGAAGTGCCCTCCGTGCTCCGTTTCGCATACTTTGATTTGGACTCGTACTCTGACCCTCCTGTGCTCCAATGTGCGTGCTCGGAGCACAGTAGTATGCATTTTGAGAAACACGCCATGTGTGTACATTATACGATCAATTAGTGAGAGAGAGCCTCAATCACATTTATTTATTCACTGTACACATGAATTGAGGCAAATTAGTTCCTGTTTCAGTCACGTCTTTGATCACATTCGCATGGGTCAAACAAAAACACACTAATGATTGGTTGACAATAGAGCCTCCCACAATGCAGGTGATGGCTGCTGGATGAAGTTGGTGAAGAGCAACTGCAGAAACTGACCTTTGATCACATGATTTCGTCAAGTTCATGTAGTCGACATGAATGCAACACACTTTGAAAGGCGGTGACCGACTTGATAAAAGTAATCCACTCGAACGCGTCCATTAACTACTGTAATCATGCATGGAATCTGGAGCGTTGAAGCACCAATACAACAATCTGCTGCAAACTCTTCTGACAGTGGACATCAGTGGCAGTCAGTGCCGTTTAAGATGAGGGAGGACGATTTTTTTTCATGAGCATGGTCTTTATTTATATTACAGCATATTGGATGACTGTCATTCATATTCCATTCACCCAGTTCAATGTAACAGCGATAGGTTTAGGCTACTACATGATACTCAAATTTTCCCTATACCCATCATGAGGTTGCTACAACCTAGCCTATGAATGACAGTTTACAACGTAGGTGCACACAGGTTGAGAGACAAATTTGAGGTGACAGACAGTGACACGTGGACATACAGTGACATTCAATACCGGCTTGCACACTCTTGCCTGCATCTAGCTGATATAGGGTGAAATCATTAGTCCAATAGTTGCAAACAATAGTTTTTATTGGACAAATTCAGGTATGTTTATCCCTGTTTTGTTCCGTTTGCTTACATTGTTGTCACCATATTAGCTAAAGTAAAGTCATAGTCAGCATAGCTAATATAACTAATGCATTAGTAAACCTGCTATAATCATGCTGTAACGTTACATGTCTTTGTGGTTATGATATTTATTTATATTTTGACGTTATAAAAGAAGCTTATACCGGGTTCCGACACCAATGCTTTCTGTTTCATAGTTGTAACAAAGGCCTTGTTTTTTTTATACATACATATATCCACATAGGTGGTCCCATGACAAAAAAACGTGCCCCCCTATGGAAATCAAATGCCCGTCCAACAGATTTGTTCTGCGGCCGGCCCTGTTTTGGAGGCAAACCTCCTAACAGTAATACTACTTCTATCTGAACATCAAATGATGTTTATTGCTGACCAGCAGATGTCACTAATGTGCATCGTGTTAAAAGCTCCAAAGTTTCTTTGGCACAATTTGGTGAAAGCCCCAAAGGCTTCAGAAAGCCTTGTTCTCCCATCACTACTTCAAACCTCTCTGCCAGAGGAAGAGGCTAAGCGAGAGGATTTACTCTGCCCAAAATCTGTCCACATTAAGCAGATCATTAATGATTAAGCAAGTGAGGAGTTTTTGTATGGAGGGCAATTAGTGTCGAATTTAGTCAAGATAAAAATGAATTGCTATTTTAATACGTGAGGCTTATTTGATCTAATATAAGTTTCGTAATGCTTAGGTTGTTAGGAGTGTACTGATATAAGTGTGATGCATGTGACATCCCGGCAACAGTTTATATTGGAGTTGTCTGCTGAAATTTGAGACGGCCTATGAATATTCATGAGGCTAGCATAGCATCTCTCTCTCCATTGAATACAGGTGGTTGACGTCAACATCCCCATCAAATATTTTAAAAAGTATTCACATAATGAGATGTATCCACCAATCCAAAGACAGCCCACCGTTCTGCTCTGTGGACAACGAATCCCATTGTTAGGGCGGAGACACAAGCAAGCACCACTTTTGATTTTAGGTTCCTACAAATCAAAGTTTAGGAATTCCTGACTTTATGAGGAAACTAGGCAGGGTTACAATTATAGCGTGGCTCGGATAAACAAATACCCATGAACAAATCCGAATTTCCCCAGGCCCACAATAATTGAAATATCAAAAACATATACTGTGGGTTGTAGTTATGATCTACACCAGGGTTCTTCAATTCCGGTCCTGGAGGGCCGAAACACCTCTGTTTTTCATCCTCTCCTTCTAATCAGGGGCTAATTCAGACCTGGGACACCAGGTGAGTGCAATTAACTACCAGGTAGAAATAAAAAACAGAAGTGTTTCGGCCCTCCAGGACCGGAATTGAAGAACCCTGATCTACACAGTAATTGGACATTTATTTTTATAATTTTGGCATACACCAAGAAAAGAGACGTTTTCCTCTGTCCTTTAATTCTTCTACATAAAAGAAACCATCATGCTTTTTTAAAATCAGACAATATTCACTATTTATTGACATTACTGTTATAGAAAATAAATCATATGAGCGGGAGAGAGATATGGTTTTGTAGCGTACATACATTAGGGATGGGGATTTGGGATTGGTTCTGGGGCTATACTAAAGCACTGGGGGAGAGAGAGGTCCAGGTCTCTTATGGCTGATAAGACGATAAGTCATGTCCCTCTGACTGCAGGCTCTAGTCGGAGTCACTGCTGCAGGAGCTGCTTGAACACTGGATGGAGGAGAAACAGAAAAGGCACACCCTTAATTCAACAAAAGTTTGGGGTCACTTAGAAATGTCCTTGTTTTCGAAAGAAAAGCAATTTTTTTGTCCATTAAAATAACATCAAATTGATCAGAAATACAGTGTAGACATTGTTAATGTTGTAAATGGCTATTGTAGCTGGAAACGGCTGATTTTTTATTGAATATCTACATAGGCGTACAGAGGCCCATTATCAGCAACCATCAGTCCTGTGTTGCAATGGCACGTTGTGTTTGCTAATCCAAGTTTATCATTGAAAAAGGCTAATTGATCATTAGAAAACCCTTTTGCAATTATTTCAGCACAGCTGAAAACTGTTGTGCTGATTAAAGAAGCAATAAAACTGGCCTTCTTGAGACTTTTGAACGGTAGTGTAAATTCTTTCAATTTAACAGAGATTTTACTACGTAGCACCTTCAATTAGTTTTAGACTAAAAATATGTATCTTACCCCATGACTCTGCTTCCCTTGCTTGTGACAACCACCATGCAAATGCCCATGCTTGTGCCTGTGCCTGCCTCCATGACCGTGCCCATGACCGTGCCCATGCTCATGGCCGTGCCCATGACCATGCCCATGGCCGTGCCCTCCGCGACCGTGCCCTCCGTGTCCTCCATGACCGTGCCCTCCGTGTCCTCCACGAGGCCCATGACCGTGTCCATGATCATGGCCGTGAGGTCCGTGCCCATGCCCATGACCGTGCCCATGATCGTGCCCATGCCCATGACCTCCATGGGGACCCTGCACTGGATAGGATGGTGGCACAGGGTAGCAAGCAGAGGGGGGCTGGTAGGGAGGGCATACTGGGGGCTGGATGGTTCCAGCGGGGTACCCGCCAGGGTATCCCCCACCTGGCATTGGCGGTTCACACCCGCTTGGGTTCACATTGTAGCCAGAGGGATGCTGGTTTCCTATACAAGGAGAGATTCATATAGAATATGAGCCAAATTACCTACACTATAAATTGTAAGAGTGGTACAGACAAAGGAAATGGGTTTGCAAACATTTACCTTGGTTGTGACCCCACATCTCGATGTTTCAGATCAAAACCCTGAAATGGAAAAAATACTTATGCATTATTATGATTATGTTTTGCTAAAATGGAACCTAGAGATGGATGAAGTCCTTATCAACATATCGCCACCTGTTTTGTGTCACAGGGCAGGGCTACATTCAGTCACAGGTCACATCTAACCAGTCTGACTGGTTGTGGAAAATTTGCAAACATGTTGAACAATAGTGTACTAGACAGATGGGGCTGCTGGCTGCACACTAAAACCAATGTTCCATTCCAGGGAAAGCAACAGTGGGGTGTTGGCCAACATATATATTTTTGAATCCTTTTGCAATGCTTTTTATTCATGTAGTTAACAGGTAAATACTGTCTGCACAGATACCTTTATAAACAGTTTTTCTCAGATACTTATAAAACATAATTGCTTTGACATTAATGTCAAGATACTGTATATAATATGGTATTTCAATGTAAGTTCTGATGGCATTCTTATAGATTTCCACTGGATGGAGCATTGAAAGCACTGAGGTAATCAGTAAGCACCAAAGTTACTGAATTAATTGATATTTTATGCAGGTACTAAGTATTTATCCCAGTATTTGCTGGAAAATTAAGCACTAACAAGGGTCAAATAAACAACTTTCTTGATGACTTAAGAATTAGCATTATTGCAGAAATCGCACTTTTCCAGATGGAATACAACATTTTAGCTTTGTTTTGTTTTTGGTCTTTTATTCCATCTGGAATATGACAGGAATAAACACTTAGTAAACATGTCCCTAAGTTGGTAAAAATCACATTCAGTACAAAGAAAACAGGAAGCTAATTGTTCGCTATTTGTCTTTCTCCCCTATGATCTTACATATTTCCCTGCATTGGCAATGTTAAAGTCTCCCATAGTTCAAAGTACTGTAACACATCAATTAAAGAGCTAGCTTTATCAATCATGTTTTACATGTCTCTTTAAAAAAACATGGTTATTTTAAATTAAAGTGTCAAAATAAGGCATATTTAGAAATATTGTACTTACTGTGATGTAGTTCCAGTCAGGGTTCTGTCTGCATGGCTTCCAGAGAAATAACTCTTAATTATACTGTAGAGAGAGACACACCTTTACACCTCACTTCCTTCACCACTCCCCAAATCTCTCATCATAAACTAAACAGATATCTGTCCGTGTGTGTGTGTGTGTTTGTCGAGGGGGCGTGAGGGGGATGGCAATAGAGGGCCAGTCATTTTTATGTTTTTATGTAATTGTATAAAATAATTGCCCAATATTTATTTCATTTGACAAAGAATTCAGTTTCAATTAAATAGTGCATATGGTCCATTGGGTTTTATAAAATGTATTATAATGTATTATTTATATGTACTGTATATGCGATATGTATACTGCAATTCAGCTTTTAGCTGCAATATTCTCTTCTCAGGTCTTAATAATTTTGAAAATGTATTTGATGGCAACCAAATATTTGATGAAGAACCAGAAACTACAACAGTTAGTTGAATTAGTCTAAATATATGATCATACGCGCATGGTTTGGAGGGCTCTTAGATATGAATCTTAATATAGCCTAGAATTAAATACATGAGGGAGATGGAATCACCTCAACATTAGAGTAGACCACTTTTGCGGCTTCAAAATGACTAACAAATACATTTTCATAATGAGTGAGACATAAGGTAATACAGTAACACTTGGCATTAAGTTCTTATGCATGTGTAGTAACTTTGTGATTATTACGATAGCAACGTTATTGTTACTTACATAGGACTGTGGAAATTGCTTTATAATGGCATAATAATGGAGTTATTACATAAGTGGAACAAGGAACAGTCACTATTCCTCTTGTGTACAGTAGTTACAAAAACTCTTAGCTCATTGCTATGCAAATAAAATGCAAATAGCAAAGTATTATGTAATAACATGCTAACAAAATGTTGCTCAAAGTAATTACAGTTTTATTACAAAGGCACAAGAACAGTTGATATCATTGATTAATTGGTTTGACTTGATAATGTACACCTGGGGAAATGGACATTCAAAGGAGAAAAAAACAAATGTTTTGTTGTCACATACACCGGATAGGTGCAGTGTGGCCCCCCTGGAGCAAATTAGGCTTACGGGCCTTGCTCAAGGGCACAGACAGATTTTTCACCTTGTCGGCTCAGGTATTTGAACCAGTGACCTTTCAGTTACTGGCCCAATGCAATAACCGCTAGGCCAGGATTTCCCAAACTAGGTCAAATAACCAACTCCTCATCAAGCTTTATTTGAATCGGCTGTGTAATGCTAGGGCAGGTCCGAGTTTTGGAAACCCTGAGCTAGGTTACCTGCTGCCCTAATGGACATTTACAGAATGGTCAGATATAAATGTATTGTGTTAATCAAATATGACTGTCAGATAGATTGGAATAGTATAGGAGATTGTGTGTGCTCTATTCATTATATTTATATCTTCAACATGCAGTTCCAAATACAGCACTGCCATTCCAATAGTTTCTGAAAAGTAGTCACTTCCTGAATTCTGTATTCAAATATATTTTTGTAAGTAGTCACTTTCTGAGATCTGTATTAAAATAGTTTTAAAAAGTTGTACTTTTTTGGGATCTGTATTCAAAGAGTTTAGTCACCTCCAAAGTAACAATTTGTTACCCCGAAAAAAGAGTTCCTTTGCACAAATCATATTTAAAACGAGTTATCCCAGGTCTGGTGGAGAAGGGGTTGAAGGAGGTGAGTACCAGCATTCTTATGAGTAGTCATGCTTCAGGAGCAAGACGAATATGATGTTGCATGGGGAGGTGAAAACAGAAATGTACCTATCAAGTACACCTTTCTTTGGAATGCCTATTGTGCAACACTTCTACTGTGTGTTATCATATGATCTCCCTTTACCATTGCTGTGATTGACAGTGCCAGAGAGCCCTTTTTGACCAGACAGCTACACCCTATCCTATCACACACATGGATGGACACATGCGCACGCACACACAAAGTTGGAACTTACAAACACTCCCCAAAACCGCACCTTGAATTTCATGAGATACTTTGATTTGGCAATTTCGGTGAGCGAGAGCGTGTATGTGTGTGTGTATTGATGCAGGACGGGTCAAGGGCTACTGGTTGGTAGGTTTGACTCACACTGTTCTCCCACTCAAACATAATCAGCTGTTGCAAGAGAGAAATAGTCGAAGTGAAACCATACACAATTACTTTATTCTGCATTTCAAAATAAGATCTAATTACAAATCAATTACTCCAATACATTTTCAGAAACTAAGGTTGATATTAATAGGCAACATGGAAACCTTTTTATTTCAGCACAATTTACAGATTGATTTAAAGGCTCGATTTAATGTCATAATACGGGTGCCAAAATGACACCCCTATTTCTCACATAGCAGCTAAAAGGTTTGTTTCAAAGAGTTCAGTCCCACCTAAATGTAAGGCAAGAGGAATGTTAAAATAGCAGGCAAGGTAAGGTGATCCCAAGGTTGAGGTCTTTTCAGGACTCACTCAGTAGAAAAACTTGGAAAACTTTCATTCAATTCACTTTATGACCAGGGTTTGGTAGGTTACTTTAGAAATGCAATCCGTTACAGTTGCTAGTTACCTGTCCAAAATTGTAATCAGTAACGTAACTTTTGGATGACCCAAATGCAGTAACATAATCTGATTACTTAAAGTTACTTTTAGATTACTTTCCCCTTAAGAGGCATTAGAAGACAAAAATGAATATTACCAATTGAATTACATCTATTGCAGGATAAATCAATGTTAGAGTTTACAAAGTTCTAGCCATAAATGGATGCTGCACTTTACTTTATAGTTATGTAGGCTTCTTCTAACCCATTGCTTTCTACTTTAATATAGATAATAATACATGTAGGCTACATCTTTACATTGAAAAGCAAAGTCTGTCAGATCATTCAAATTGATTTCATACCCCTTGGACAAAAACAGGACTTGGAAAAGTGCTATTTGCATGTGAAAAATGAATGTCAAATGCTGCATTTGCTATAGGCCTATTGTTTAAGTTTTTGTTGGTGACACTTTGATATCTCAATAATTTGCAGCTGTTTAGGTCCATCAAAAGTGTGTGAGTTTGAGCATGTGTCCGTTAGGCTTATGGACTTTTTTTTTTTATCAGCACAAATTAGATTGAGCAATAAAAGCCCCCCTCATGGTGTTCTTAAATTAAACTCTTTTTTGACAGTATGTGGAGGACAATACCACGGAGGAAGGGAGGAAATCCATCAAACTTTTATTCCATAGGCTGGGATCTGCACTATGCAGCTGTTGCAAGAGCACATTTTTCACTGGCTGTCCACTGGTCGCAAAAACAATAAATGATAGGCAACTTTAAACCTCTTCAATTCAACCATTATTGGGTTAAAATACACATTAATTTGTGAACAGCCATCCACAACAACCACAATCCGTAAGGCGCAAACATCTATTAAGAAAGCAGCAGTGTGATTCACATCAATGCGCTATGTAGATATCAATAATAGGCTACAACACTGCTGTCGTCCTTACCTCCAAGCGTTTATTCAAGTTGGATGTATAATCTTTGATGCCGACAGTCACACCATTGGAAGACATAGCTTGGACTGTAGCCTACAAAAGCTTATTCCTGCTCTTTTCCCGCGATCCATCAAACGCATTTGGTGGGTCATCATAGTGGTCTCTGACTTGTGGTCAGACTCTCTCAGGTGGAACAAACTTAAGCTCATTTGAATGCCATTAAGAAAAAGTAATCCTAGAAGTAATCATCTAGTTTTTCAAAAGTATCTGTAATCTGAATACAATATTTTAGCTGTTAACGGATTACAGGTAAAAACATTTTTATAATCAGTTACATTTAATGGATTACATGTAATCCGTTACTCCCCAACCCTGTTTACGACCGTTCTTTATGTAGAGATTAGAAAGGGCACTGTTCTCATCCCTGCTGACCCCTTGACCTTTAGGTGACCCCTGACCTCACAGCTTGACCTTCCCGGCCAGAGGGCTGGAGGGGTAGAGTTTTGAGAAACGTCCCAGCGTCCACACGGTGAAGACGTTCCTGTAGGAGGTGTAGCTGATGGCACAGCTCTTATTGAACACGCCCGAGATGTTTTCCTGAGGAGAGATAGGACAAAATACAGTTGTGGTCATCTATAAAGCTTCAGGGTATTCTTAACAATATGTATCTCTAATAAGAATACTCTACACTTCTTCTTGGGCTCCAAAAATACACAGTGACACAATCTGCAATACAGTACATGACAGGATGACAGACAGCCAGAGGGCCAGATTTTCAACAACAGATCATGCTAAACAATGTGACAACTTCATGCTTGAGCCTTGTATTTGTATTTTTTTATTTCACCTTTATTTAACCAGGTAACCCAGTTGAGAACAAGTTCTCATTTACAACTGCAACCTGGCCAAGATAAAGCAAAGCAGTGCGATAAAAACAACAACAACACAGAGTTACATATAGAATAAACAAAAACGTACAGTCAATAACACAATAGAAAATATAAAATGTATATACAGTGTGTGCAAATGTAGTAAGTTATGGAGGTAAGGCAATAAATAGGCCATAGTGCAAAATAATTACAATTTAGTATAAACATTGGAGTGATAGATGTGCAGAAGATGATACTGGGGTGCAAATGAGCAAAATAAATAACAATGTAAATAACAATATGGGGATGAGGTAGTTGGGTGGGCTAATTACAGATGGGCTGTGTACAGGTACAGTGATCGGTAAGCTGCTCTGACAACTGATGCTTAAAGTTAATGAGGGAGATAAGTGTCTCCAGTTTCAGAGATTTTTGTAGTTCGTTCCAGTCATTTGTAGCAGAGAACTGGAAGGAATGGCGGCCAAAGGAGGTGTTGGCTTTGGGGATGACCAGTGAGATATACAGTGCCCTCCACTACCCAGGGAAACAGGAAGTCATGAATTACTAATTAAAAGTTCCTAGATACCCTGACCAACTTTAGCAACTACAGAAAAATATATTTTAAAAAAAAAAAGTTGGTCAGGGTATCTAGGAACTTTTAATTAGTAATTCATGACTTCCTGTTTCCCTGGGGTATAAATATGACGTGACACAGAGGCCTAATTCTCTTACCCATTTGTCAACATGGCAAAGACAAGAGAACACACCATTCAAGTAAGGCAGATTTGTGTCGACCTTCATAAATCAGGCAATGGCTACAAGAAAATAGCCACTCGCCTTAACTTGCCCGTATCTACAGTCAGAGGAATCATTAAGAAGTTTAAAACAACAGGAACAGTGACAAACAAGGCTGGAAGAGGTCCCAAGTTTATCTTGCCACAACGCACAGTGAGGAGGATGGTAAGAGAAGTAAAAAAAAGTCCTAAGCTCACTGTCACAGAATTGCATCAAAGAGTGGCATCTTGGGGTCACAAAGTCTCCAAAACAACCATCAGATGCTCTCTACATGCCAACAAGCTGTTTGGGAGGCATGCAAGGAAAAAGCCTTTTCTCACTAACACTCACAAACGTAAATGTCTGGAGTTTGCTAAGCGGCACTGGGACTTCAACTGGGATCGTGTGCTTTGGTCAGATGAGACTAAGATTGAGCTTTTGGCAACAAACACTCTAAGTGGGTCTGGCGTAAAACAAAATGAGTATGCCGAAAGCACCTCATGCCCACCGTGAAGTATGGTGGAGGATCTGTGATGCTGTGGGCCTGTTTCTCTTCCAAAGGCCTGGGAACCTTATTAGGGTGCATGGCATTATGAACGCTTTGAACTACCAGGACATTTTAAATAAAAACCTGATGGCCTCTGCCAGAAAGCTGAAGATGGGTCGTCATTGGGTCTTTCAGCAGGATAATGATCCAAAACATGTGGCAAAATCTACACAAAAATGGTTCAGCAGTCACAAACTCAAGGTCCTCCCATGGCCATCTCAGTCCCCAGACCTCAACCCAATCGAAAACCTGTGGGGCGAGCTAAAGAGGAGAGTGCATAAGAGAGGACCCAGGACACTGGATGATCTAGAAAATTAGGGGGTGCCAATAATTGTGGGACACATGATTTCAAGTTATTTTTTTTCTAAATGTGTGATTTTTTTCTCCCCACCAAAGTAATGTACTTAAATAAAAGGTAGGATTTTTCTCTTTTTTTGCATTTGGGTTCTATGTTGTTTAAAAAAAAAGGAGAATTTTTGGAAGTCCTCGACCACATCTTAAACAGGGGTGCCAATAATTGTGGAGGGCACTGTACCTGCTGGAGCGCATATTATGGGTGGGTGTTGCTATGGTGACCAATGATCTAAGATAAGGCGGGGATTTGACTAGAAGTGATTTATAGATAACCTGGAGCCAGTGGGTTTGGCAACAAATATGAAGTGAGGGCCAGCCAACGAGAGCGTACAGATCACAATTTTGGGTAGTATATGGGGCTTTGGTGACAAAACGGATGGCACTGTGATAGACTACATCCAATTTGCTGAGTTGAGTGTTGGAAGCTATTTTGTAAATGACATCGCCGAAGTCAAGGATCGGTAGGATAGTCAGTTTTACGAGGGCATGTTTAGCAGCATGAGTGAAGGAGGCTTTGTTGCGAAACAGGAAGCCAATTCTAGATTTAACATTGGATTGGAGATGCTTAATGTGAGTCTGGAAGGAGAGTTTACGGTCTAACCAGACACCTAGGTATTTGTAGTTGTCCACATATTCTAAGTCAGACCCGCCGAGAGTAGTGATTCTAGTCGGGCGGGCGGGTGCAAGCAGTGTTCGATTGAAGAGCATGCATTTAGTTTTACTAGCGTTTAAGAGCAGTTGGAGGCCACAGAAGGAATGTTGTATGGCATTGAAGCTTGTTTTGGAGGTTTCTTAACACAGTGTCCAATGAAGGGTCAGATGTAGACCGATGAAGACGGCTGCACAGTACTGTCTTTTATCAATCGCGGTTATTATATCGTTTAGGACCTTGGGCGTGGCTGAGGTGCACCCATGACCAGCTCGGAAACCAGATTGCATAGCGGAGAAGGTACGGTGGGATTCGAAGTGGTCGGTGATCTGTTTGTTAACTTGGCCTTCAAATACTTTCGAAAGGCAGGGTAGGATGATTATAGGTCTGTAACAGTTTGGATCTAGAGTGTCACCCCCTTTGAAGAGGGGGATGACCGCGGCAGCTTTTCTAATCTCTGGGGATCTCAGATGATACGAAAGAGAGGTTGAACAGGCTAGTAATAGGGGTTGCGACAATTTCGACGGCTAATTTTAGAAAGAAAGGGTCCAGATTGTCTAGCCCAGCTGATTTGTAGGGGTCCAGATTTTGCAGCTCTTTCAGGACATCAGCTATCTGAATTTGGGTGAAGGAGAAGCGGGGGGGGGGGGGGGGGGGGGGCATGGGCAAGTTGCAGCGGATGGTGCAGAGCTGGTGGCCGGGGTAGGGGTAGCCAGGTGGAAAGCATGGCCAGCCGTAGAAAAATACTTATTTAAATTCTCGATTATCGTAGATTTATCGGTGGTGACAGTGTTTCCTAGCCTCAGTGCAGTGGGTAGCTGGGAGGAGGTGCTTTTATTCTCCATGGACTTTACAGTGCCCCAAAACGTTTTGGAGTTAGTACTACAGGATGCACATTTCTGTTTGAAAAAGCTAGCCTTTGCTTTCCTAACTGATTGTGTATGGAGCTAAGCACTGAGCACAGTGTGACAGGAGGCGGGGACTCACCTGTGGCCAGTCTCCATTGGGCAGCTGCTTGTCAATCAACAGCTGTATTCCTCTCTCAATCACATGTACATCTGGGTACCTGCCGCAGAGAACAGAAGAGATTGTGGGTCTACAACTTAAACATACTGAGGTTCATTGGTCCCACTTTATATCATATTGTGTTAAACCATGTAGTTACAAGGTAGTTACAAAGGTAGTTACAAGGTAGTCATAGGTAGTTACAAGGTAGTTAAATAAGTAGTTACAAGGCAGTTACATATGTAAGTAGTTACTGATACCTGGCAGCCATGAGGCCCAGCAGGGCCCAGCAGGTGTTGTGGATCTGGGAGTTAGCACTCTGCACGTAGCGACGCTGCTCACAGGACTCAAAGTCCTCGCCCCAGCCCCCATCCTCCATCTGGTGGGCCACCAGGAAGTCACAGGCACTCTGCACCTCCTCACACACACCACTGCTGGAGAGAGACAGGGAGGGAGACAGAAAGAGACAAAGAGAGAGTGAGAGAGAGGGAAAGGGAGAGGGAGAGATGTATTTTTAAAGGTTTGAAAACGATTCCACAGACATTCGTGTTTCCTTTGAATGTGGGTGTGTGCATACACGTCTTCCTCCAGCACTAAGGATCCTTACCCATCATGGTAGGTGTGACCCATGCAGGCGAAGGCCTCCAAGCCGAACCAGACCCCATAGGTGAAGCACACTCCCCAGGATCTAGGCAACACACACCACAATAAGAAAGGACTAGGGTGGCAAAAGTGCGGTAACTTTCCCAAAATCCCCTGGTCTTACAGAAATCCTGGTTGAAGGATTCCCGGATGTCCTACTTATTCCCTCCTGATTCCGTGAAACTTCCAACTGGGATTTCTGGAAAACCAGGGAATTTTGGGAAAGTTACCAGAATTTTGCAACCCTAGAAAGGACACATAACTGAAGGGTCCATATGACACAAAAGCATTAACAACAACATGACATTCAAATCACAGGCAGAGTCCCTATATGACATTCAAATCACAGGCACTGGCATTCAAATCACATGGCATTCAAATCACAGGCACTGGCATTCAAATCACATTGCATTCAAATCACATGGCATTCAAATCACAGGCACTGGCATTCAAATCACATGGCATTCAAATCACAGGCAGAGTCCCGACAGTCTTCAATAGCCTCCTTTTCTTGTATCCTTTCCTTTATGACCACTGATCCGGACTTGTTAGAAGGAATCAACATGGACGACACCTATCCATACAATCTCACCCATAAGTTGTCATATGTTATACATAATACGTTATAACCTTATTCTAAAATGTATTAAATAGTTTTTTCCCCTTATCAATCTACACACAATACCCCATAATGTCAAAGCAAAAACAGGTTATTAGAATTTTCTGCACATTTATAAAAAATAAAAAACGTAAATATTACATTTACATAAGTATTCAGACCCTTTACCTAGTACTTTGTTGACGCACCTTTGGCAGTGATTACAGCCTCGAGTCTTCTTGGGTATGACGCTACAAGCTTGGCACACCTGTATTTGGGGAGTTTCTCCCATTCTTCTCTGCAGATCCTCTCAAGCTCTGTCAGGTTGAATGGGGAGCGTTGTTGCACAGCTATTTTCAGGTCTCTCCAGAGATGTTCGATCGGGTTAGAGTCCGGGCTCTGGCTGGGCCACTCAAGGACATTCAGAGACTTGTCCCGAAGCCACTCCTGCGTCGTCTTGGCTGTGTGATTAGTGTCGATGTCCTGTTGGAAAGTGAACCTTTGCCCTAGTCTGAGTTCCTGAGCACTCTGGAGCAGGTTTGTACTTTGCTCCGTTCATCTTTGCCTCAATCCTGACTAGTCTCCCAGTCCCTGTCGCTGAAAAACATCCCCACAGTGTGATGCTGCCACCACCATGCTTCACCGTAGGGATGGTGCCAGGTTTCCTCCAGACGTGATGCTTGGCATTCAGGCCAAAGAGTTCAATCTTGGTTTCATCAGACCAGAGAATCTTGTTTCTCATGGTCTGAGAGTCCTTTAGGTGCCTTTTGGCAAACTCCAAGCGGGCTGTCATGTGCCTTTTACTGATGTGTGGCTTCCGTCTGGCCACTCTACATAAAGGCCTGATTCGTGGAGTGCTGCAGAGATGGTTGTCCTTCATGAAGGTTCTCCCATCTCCACAGAGGAACTCTAGAGCTTTGTTAGAGTGACCATCGGGTTCTTGGTCACCTCCCTGACCAAGGCCCTTCTCCCCCGATTGCTCAGTTTGGCTGGGCGGCCAGCTCTAGGAAGAGTCTTGGTGGTTCCAAACTTCTTCCATTTGAGAATGATGGAGGCCACGGTGTTCTTGGGGACCTTCAATGCTGCAGAAATGTTTTGGTACCATTCCCCAGATCTGTGCCTCGACACAATCCTGTCTCGGAGCTCTACGGACAATTCCTTCGACCTCATGGCTTGGTTTTTGCTCTGACATGCACTTTCAACTGTGGGACCTTATATAGACAGGTGTGTGCCTTTCCAAATCATGTCCAATCAATTTAATTTAACACAGGCGGACTCCAATCAAGTTGTAGAAACATCTCAAGGATGATCAATGGAAACAGGATTCACCGGAGCTCAATTTCGTGTCTCATAGCAAAGGGTCTGAATACTTATGTAAATAAGGTATTTCAGTTTTTTTATTTGTAATAAATTTGCTACAATTTCTAAAAACATGTTTCCACTTTGTCATTATGGGGTATTGTGCGTAGATTGCTGAGGATTTAAAAAAATGTAATCCATTTTAGAATAAGGCTGTAACGTAACAAAATGTGGAAAAAGTCAAGTGGCCTGAATACTTTCCGAAGGCACTGTATAACTAGATGCCTACTGTTTTCCTTGGTCAGGAAAACTCCTGGAACTAATCATGAAGTAAAGGAGACGAGGAGAGGGTACTGACTGACACTCAGCCATGATATAAGTGAGACCGAACGCTACTTACCCTTCCCACGACCCATCAGGCCTCTGCACCCTCCGGCAGTACTCCAATCCTTCTCTCAGAGTGGACCTGAGTGAAAACAGTTGGAACAAGTTACAGTGAGGGAAAAAAGTATTTGATCCCCTGCTGATTTTGTACGTTTGCCCACTGACAAAGAAATGATCAGTCTATAATTTTAATGGTAGGTTTATTTGAACAGTGAGAGACAGAATACCAACAAAACAATCCAGAAAAACGCATGTCAACATTTTTATAAATTGATTTGCATTTTAATGAGGGAAATAAGTATTTGACCCCTCTGCAAAACATGACTTAGTACTTGGTGGCAAAACCCTTGTTGGCAATCACAGAGGTCAGACGTTTCTTGTAGTTGGCCACCAGGTTTGCACACATCTCAGGAGGGATTTTGTCCCACTCCTCTTTGCAGATCTTCTCCAAGTCATAAAGGTTTCAAAGCTGACGTTTGGCAACTCGAACCTTCAGCTCCCTCCACAGGTTTTCTATGGGATTAAGGTCTGGAGACTGGCTAGGCCACTCCAGGACCTTAATGTGCTTCTTCTTGAGCCACTCCTTGTGTATGTCTACAATCTTGTACCTGACATCCTTGGAGAGCTCTTTGGTCTTGGCCATGGTGGAGAGTTTGGAATCTGATTGATTGATTGCTTCTGTGGACAGGTGTCTTTTATACAGGTAACAAACTGAGATTAGGAGCACTCCCTTTAAGAGTGTGCTCCTAATCTCAGCTCGTTACCTGTATAAAAGACACCTGGGAGCCAGAAGTCTTTCTGATTGAGAGGGGGTCAAATACTTATTTCCCTCATTAAAATGCAAATCAATTTATAACATTTTTGACATGAGTTTTTCTGGATTTCTTTGTTGTTATTCTGTCTCTCACTGTTCAAATAAACCTACCATTAAAATTATAGACTGATCATTTCTTTGTCAGTGGGCAAACTTACAAAATCAGCAGGGGATCAAATACTTTTTTCCCTCACTGTATGCTTTTAGGCAATAGTTTGGAGAGGTTTAGGGTTCCAGGCTAGAGGTATAGCCTGTGTGTATGTACCTGATCTCCTCTGTCCGGTATTCAGGGTACATGTGCTGGAAGTGTCTCAGAGCCTGCATGACTGCTGAGGTGCACTCCACGTAGGTGTAGTCTATCATGATGTCACCTAAAAGAAAGAGAGAGAGAGAGAGGGGGGGGAGAGAGAGGGGGAGGGGGAGAGTGGGGAGAGAGGGGGAGAATCAAACCCCCTGTATCTCAGTACAAAGCTTGTATTTATATCCTAAAAAAGTATTATATCCATAAATACAACCCAGGGGAGGGAGGGGGGATGAGGGGAGAGAATCGGTGAGATAAAAGACTCACCAAACACCTCTGAGGGGTTGAGTAGCTCCAACAGTCTCCCTCCTCGCTTGGTCTCATAAGTGGCAAAACCGCCGTCACTGTTTCTCATGCTCAGCAACTGCAACACACAGTCAACCAGGGCAAGTGTCAGTATTGTATATTGCTTTTTTGTTGGATGATGGAATCAAACATGAACTGTGAGTCAGCATTATTATCAGCACCGTGAGATATCATCTTGAAAGAAGTTGAAAGTTGGGGAGATAGTAGAGAGGAAAATACATGAAAGATAGAGAATACACACTTGAAGGGCTGGGACTCTAGACCCCGACACATGATATATCAACTTGTGGTAAAAACTGTGATTGGTTGTACAGTAGATAGAAGTTAGTTGGTGTTGCCACTGACCACATTGACGGCGTCACACAGGCGCTCTGAGGGGACGTACTGACTGATGAAGGGACAGTGTTCCTGCAGAAGCATCACTGACTTTAGGCCCTCTGCCGTGCAGTCGGCCACGATCCAGCCACAGTCCCGCGTGCTGAAGGGGAACCCTCCCTGATACACACACAGACACAAACACAAACACACATTCATGTATGTAAACGCAAGCGCGCATAGACACACGCATACAAATGCACGCACATGCACACAACCATGCATGACACACGGATGTGCAGGACAATCACACACACGCACTCACTCACTCACACACACGACCATGCAGGACACACGCACATGGTCTTGCAGGACAAACACACACATACAGGACACACAGACACTTCCTCTGACTGGCAGTACTGGTTCACCTTGTTCATCTGTCTGTAGTATTTCTGATATTCGGGGGGGTTGTCAGGTATCTGATGAAAGGAGAAAACTGGTCAAACATCAGAAAGAATCCATAGAAATGCAACAGGTGTTGTATTAGTCCGTTCTCAAACCAAATGTTTTGAGAACGGAACCGAGGAATGTGTGGCCTCAAGGTGTTTGTCTGGCAGCGAGCTAATACACTAGACTCTCTCTGACCGGTGTGAGGAACTCTGACCGGTGTGAGGAACTCTGACCGGTGTGAGGAACTCTGACCGGTGTGAGGAACTCTAAACCCATTTTCTGTGATGCTCTCACCTGTGTGATGGTGAGAAACTGGTGGGCGTGTTTAAGACACTCTTCTAACCTGGGGTTGTCCTGAGCCCCTGCCTGAATGACCCCAATTGAGAAAAAACACAAAAACATTAGAAATGTGAACAACAACACATCATCCTCTCAACTTTGACATCTTTACAGTTGAATGGACAGTAATGCAAGCAGAATGTAAAGCATGATGAACAAGTCAGATGGATTCTTTATAGTCTTTGTAGCGTAAAATGTTATATGAATATCTCACCTCTAGGAAGGCCTGAGCTGCGAAAGCCGTGTCCCATAGCTGTGATCCATTGGTCCCCTTTAGGAACACAACCAGACTGCATGTCAGAAAAACAGGTCAGACATTAAAAGTGCTTTTTAGTGCTTTTTTGTCTTCTTAATTTGGGTCAGGAAACCGGCCCATAATGGAAAAGATTAATGACATTATGCATATCATGACTAGCCAATACCCAACATACCTGCATTTTCATACCATCCAATCCCAACCTATGGCGAACCAGGAAATGGAAAACAAACATGTAAATAAACACGCTCACAACCTACTGCATTGTCACATACAACATTGACTCACTAACTGACTCACTAACTGACTGACCAGAGGTAGTCTGGGATCCTGGACACGTGCTCCTGGAAGGCAGCGGAGGAGGGTCCATCCACGAGCCAGCGCACCAGCATGTTGATCGTTTTGGAGATCTGAGGAGTGAAACAAGGTGTTAAATCACCAGCACTTAACACTTACACACAATTCTGGATCAACTTAAACCATAGTGTAAACTGCCACAACAGCATTAAAGATGGAATCTGCACTAGGGGAAACAGCGCCACTTATGTTATCCGCCACACGGCCATTGTTTTTGAAACTGCGTTCATTGTTTGCAGTAACTTCTTTATTGTTGTAATATTGCAAAACGATGTGGCAGTTTCACCCTTAAGGATTCCAGCTTTAAGTGCAAGGATATATTATACAATACTAAAACACAAGTGCCATAAAAAAGTACTTAGATCAGTTTCTTACTGGGCCGATGCTGATGCACTTGGTGAAACGGTCGTCAGCCTGTATGTGGTCGTACAGCTCTTTGACCGCTCTTCCTCGTAGAGCGCTGCTGTGGTGGCCCTCATACACGTTCATGACCACTGAAGAACAACAGAGAATTCAAGGTTACAGTTATAATGTGGTCACAAATGACCACTCACAATAAACTATTAATACAGTATGTGCAGTGCTTACTGTAAGCCACGGTGAGCAATGTGCTGTGTGGTGTGTACATGTCACATGCCGCCACATTGTTCCTCTGAGCAGGCCAGTTGATGGTGGCATAGTCCTGGACATACAGCTCCTATAGAACAGAGAAGGATGTTACTAAGTCCATGCACTCTATTGCAGCTCCATCTTATTCTAGCTGATCTTGGGGCTGTGCCTACGCGGGCAACTTCTGCCTGGAGTGGAGCACTATGACAGAAACATGTCTCCCCCAGGTGGGGTGAAGTAACTACTGCACCTGTCTGAGGCTGAGCACCAGGGGGTCCTCCTTCGCAGCAAACCTGACAGCGTAGCAGTAGCTCATAGGGAGGTAGACCTGGCGACAGTGGCACCAGAGAGTGGATGGGTGAGCAGGGAACCAGGTAGGGAACAGCCTGAATGGAGCACAAACATGGACCAAAGAACGGGACAAGTTGAAAAATAGCTGAGGGAATCAATGTTCCAAATCAAGGTTAAAGTTCACAAGTAGTTAAGAGTGAGCTATCTATCCAATTTGAACTGTTATGCATAGGTGCTGTATAAAGGCGAATAAAATCTATGTACAATTCTGATCAAATTCTTATCAGGACATCAAGCATACCACATCTCCGGGAGGAGTGTGTTCATTCCTTCCCAGCTGTACACATTGAGGATGGCCAACCAGAATTTACCCCAGGAGGAGATGCCCACAGCGCCACCTGTACAACAGACAGACACATAGACATGATCTGACTCTACAATGGTAACACTTTCACCTCTTATTTTAGGTTAAAAGCATATAGTCACTTTTTATTTCAAGTTTAAAGCATATACAGGTGATGCTCTCCAACATTTCCTTTTATTTTTTTCTAACAGCATATTTATTTGGTTCTACCAACATACGAAACAAAGAGCTCAATTAATTGACCACATAAGTGTTTGAAAAAACAAAACAGTTAAATCAGACCTTTGCTGTGCAGGTTGTTCCTGGCCCGAACCATATCCGGGTCATCCGGTCCCACTCCCAGAATCCTCAGGGTGGTGTAGCTGAGGGCCGTGCCAAACACTGTGGACTTGTCTTCAATGTGTCTGACAAGAAATTACCAAAACACAACAATAAGAAACCTTTGACTGCGCTGATACTCACAAGCCTCATAAGCTGTGGTCGAAACATTGTTAATTAAACTACTGGAACATCTAAACAGTGTGAACGGGCATCCCTCTTATTTTCACACTGTATTTTGGGGTAGAAGTGAAGGGGAGCAGTGGTGAGAACACTCACAGGCCCCAGCCTCCGTCAGCCAGTTGGACAGAGCGCAGGTATCTCACCATCTCCTTCTTCCAGGCCTCAGGGAGAGGGATCTGGGTTATGTGACAGGTGATCAGGAGACCTGAGTATAGCACAGACAGACAGACAGACCACGGACGTCACCTCAGATGTTGTAAGTACAGATGTGAGTCTCATCGTTAACTTGAGTGTTTTTACTGTTTTCATAACCCATGTATTACATTATAACTACCATAAACAGTTGGCATAATGTACACGATAATGCACGCCATGTGCGACCCCGTCCACTGTTATTTCCCCACGGACATGACCACAATAAACCTCAATGACCGTGCTTGTTATGTGTACATACAGTGGGGAAAAAAAGTATTTAGTCAGCCACCAATTGTGCATGTTCTCCCACTTAAAAAGATGAGAGAGGCCTGTAATTTTCATCATAGGTACACGTCAACTATGACAGACAAAATGAGGAAAAAAAATCCAGAAAATCACATTGTAGGATTTTTTATGAATTTATTTGCAAATTATGGTGGAAAATAAGTATTTGGTCAATAACAAAAGTTTCTCAATACTTTGTTATATACCCTTTGTTGGCAATGACACAGGTCAAACGTTTTCTGTAAGTCTTCACAAGGTTTTCACACACTGTTGCTGGTATTTTGGCCCATTCCTCCATGCAGATCTCCTCTAGAGTAGTGATGTTTTGGGGCTGTCGCTGGGCAACACGGACTTTCAACTGGCTTAAGCAGGGGGAAATGTCTTGCACTGCAGGATTTGAGTCCCTAGCGGCGTAGTGTGTTACTGATTGTAGGCTTTGTTACTTTGGTCCCAGCTCTCTGCAGGTCATTCACTACGTCCCCCCGTGTGGTTCTGGGATATTTGCTCACCGTTCTTGTGATCATTTTGACCCCACGGGGTGAGATCTTGCGTGGAGCCCCAGATCGAGGGAGATTATCAGTGGTCTTGTATGTCTTCCATTTCCTAATAATTGCTCCCACAGTTGATTTCTTCAAACCAAGCTGCTTACCTATTGCAGATTCAGTCTTCCCAGCCTGGTGCAGGTCTACAATTTTGTTTCTGGTGCCCTTTGACAGCTCTTTGGTCTTGGCCATAGTGGAGTTTGGAGTGTGACTGTTTGAGGTTGTGGACAGGTGTCTTTTATACTGATAACAAGCTCAAACAGGTGCCATTAATACCGGTAACGAGTGGAGGACAGAGGAGCCTCTTAAAGAAGAAGTTACAGGTCTGTGAGAGCCAGAAATCTTGCTTGTTTGTAGGTGACCAAATACTTATTTTCCACCATAATTTGCAAATAAATTCATTAAAAATCCTACAATGTGATTTTCTGGATTTTTTTCTCTCAATTTGTCTGTCATAGTTGACGTGTACCTATGATGAAAATTACAGGCCTCTCTCATCTTTTTAAGTGGGAGAACTTGCACAATTGGTGGCTGACTAAATACTTTTTTTCCCCACTGTACATTATGTGTAAATATGTAAAGTTAATATTGGATGTCATTATGCAGACATTTAATTTTATGAAATGCATACTGTACGTCCATTGAAAGTGCATCTAATTGTGTGTACCTGGTAGCAGGAAGAGGGGTCCTCCGTAGTCTCCTGCCCAGTGGCCATCCTCTGCCTGGAGCTGGCTGTAGAATGCCATGCCCTTCAGGGCTGACTCCACCGCAGTGTGGGCCAAGGGAGAGCCAGGGATGAACTTACTCTGTAGAGGGGCATAGGTACTGTCAAAACAAAGCATGGGTCAAAGGTCACAACACTAATGACAAGAGCTTTATAGGAGAGATTTAGTTCCACCTTTTTTTTCTTGTGGGGCCCAACCATTCTATCATTGAATTGATACTTCAATGAGACATATGTTTATAAGAGGTTAGGATGAGAGAATATGCACTTATTCTTGCAAGGGTTTCAACCATTTGGTCTATGGCTTCAACTAATAATATATTATAATAATTTGGGGGGTGCTTATATTTTACTTGTGCTTGTATTTGACGTGCTGTTACATTTATTTTGATTTAACTAGGCAAGTCAATTAAGAACACATTCTTATTTACAATGACAGCCTACAAAGGGGAGATGTAGGCCGTCAACAAAATGTAATACAAGTGTGTAATGTAAATGTTTTTTTTGCATATCAACTACTCCTGAGACACCCACAGATAGTAGGGTCACAGCCAGGGTCACCATTTTACAGCACCCCTGGAGCAATTAGGGTTAAGTGCCTTGTTCAAGCACACAGCTACAGATTTTTCACCTTGTCGGCTCCAGTATTCGAACCAGCAACCTTGCGGTTACTGGCCTAACGCTCTAACCGTCATCCCTAATACTTATGCTTCAGATAGCCTAGGTCAGCCTGGTCTCATAGGATAGATGTAACATAGTAAATGTAAATCCGGGACACTGCAATTAGTATGATATGTTACGTTTCATATGGTTACATAAGAGATGTACACTCACTTTTCAACTATTTACTACTTTTTAGCTACTTTGCAACTACTTAGCATGTTAGCTAACCCTTCCCCTAACCTTAACCCTTTTTGCTAACCCTTCCCCTATCCTTAACCTTTTAACCTAACTCCTAAACTTAACCCTAACCTAGCTAACGTTAGCCACTTAGCCAGAATTTGTAACATACACTATATATACAAAAGTATGTGGACACCCCTTCAAATTAGTGGATTCGGCTCTTTCAGTCACACCCGTTGCTGACAGGTGTATAAAATCGAGCACACAGCCATGAAACCCCCATTGACAAACATTGGCAGTAGAATGGCCTTACTGAAGAGCTCAGTGACTTTCAATGTAGCACCGTCATAGGATGCCACCTTTCCAACAAGTCAGTTCGTCAAATTTCTGCCCTGCTAGAGCTGCCCCGGTCAACTGTAAGTGCTGTTATAGTGAAGTGGAAACGTCTAGGAGCAACAACGGCTCAGCCGCGAAGTGGTAGGCCACACAAGCTCACAGAACGGGACCGCCGAGTGCTGAAGCACGTAGCTTGTCCTTGGTTGCAACACTCACTACCGAGTACCAAACTTCCTCTGGAAGCAACGTCAGCACAATAACTGTTTGTCGGGAGCTTCATGAAATGGGTTTCCATGGCCAAGCAGCCGCACACAAGCCTACGATCATCCTGCGCAAATGCCAAGCGTTGGCTGGAGTGGCGTAAAGCTCGCCGCCATTGGACTCTGGAGCAGTGGAAACGCGCTCTCTGGAGTGATGAATCATGTTTCACCATCTGGAAGTCCGACAGACAAATCTGGGTTTGGCGGATACCAGGAGATCTCGATCTGCCGAATGCATAGTGCCAACTGTAAAGTTTGGTGGAGGAGGAATATTGGTCTGGGGCTGTTTTTCATGGTTCGGGCTAGGCCCCTTAGTTCCAGTGAATGGAAATCTTAACGCTACAGCATACAATGACATTGTAGATGATTCTGTGCTTCCAACTTTGTGGCAACAGTTTGGGGAAGGCCCTTTCCTGTTTCAGCATGACAATGGCCCCGTGCACAAAGCGAGGTCCATTCAGAAATGGTTTGTCCAGATCGGTGTGGAAGATCTTGACTGGCCTGCACAGAGCCCTGATCTCAAGCCCATCAAACACCTTTGGGATGAATTGTAACACCGACTGCGAGCCAGGCCTAATCGCCCAACATCAGTGCCTGACCTCACTAATGCTCTTGTGGCTGAATGGAAGCAAGACCCCGCAGCAATGTTCCAACATGTAGTGGAAAGCCTTAACAGAAAAGTGGAAGCTTTTATTGCAGCAAAGGGGGGACCAACTCCATATTAATTAAGCAGATGTCCACATACCTTTGGTCATGTAGTGTATCATACCTTTTACAAATTTTTAACATTCTGTACGTTTGGCAAATTCGTAACATATAGTATGAATTGTAATTCGTAACATATCATACGAAATGGGTGATGGACATCCACAAATGAATACATACCATATGAAACATAACATCATACTAAATAGTCTGTCTCGGATTTACATACGGAATAATACGAAATGCTCTGAGACCAGGTTGCCTAGGTATGTCCTCTCCTTTAGTAGATACAGGTGATATGCCTTTAGTAGATACAGGTGATATGTCCTCACTCATCTTTTTTCGTTAAACTTTTTCACCCCGGACGTTTTATCCCGAGACAGAAGAGTCATTTTCCTGTGCGTTTTAGCTGCCAACTTTACTTTATTTTTCCTTTTTTCCATCGCAACTTTTTTCCCTTATTCAACTTTTTCACTCCGGACGCTTTATCTGGACATGGTTCGTCAACATCTTCAACAGCCGAAGCTAAGTAGTAACATTAACATGATGTCTTCTAATTGCAGTCGCTGTACTCATAATATACAGGAGAACGATCGCCTTACGGCGAGAATAGCTGTGCTACAAGCCCAGCTTCAGACGCAATCGTTAGGCAAGGGTAATTTCAGTGTAGGAAAGGAAGAAACAGCGTCTGTGCCACCAGTAAGTACAGACAGTAACGTTAGTATAAATCCCCCCGCACAGTCCCCGCAGCCGGACAACTTTCTCATGGCTTCTGGAGGGAAATACTGTTGGAATGCTCAACCGGTGTCGCTCATTCAGCCGACAGAAACCTTCAACCGGTTTTCCCCATTATGTAGCGAGTCGGAGTCTGAGTCTGAGTCTTCTCTTGTCTCTACTCCTCCCGTTACGGGGTCTGAGACGCCGAAGGCTCCCACCATTAGCTCTGACAAATTGAAAACCCTAGTCATTGGCGACTCCATTACCCGCAGTATTAGACTTAAAACGAATCACCCAGCGATCATACACTGTTTACCAGGGGGCAGGGCTACCGACGTTAAGGCTAATCTAAAGATGGTGCTGGCTAAAGCTAAAACTTGCGAGTGTAGAGAGTATAGAGATATTGTTATCCACGTCGGCACCAACGATGTTAGGATGAAACAGTCAGAGGTCACCAAGTGCAACATAGCTTCAGCGTGTAAATCAGCTAGAAAGATGTGTCGGCATCGAGTAATTGTCTCTGGCCCCCTCCCAGTTAGGGGAAGTGACGAGCTCTACAGCAGAGTCTCAGCACTCAATCGCTGGTTGAAAACTGTTTTCTGCCCCTCCCAAAAGATAACATTTGTGGATAATTGGCCCTCTTTCTGGGACTCACCCACAAACAGGACCAAGCCTGACCTGCTGAGGAGTGACGGACTCCATCCTAGCTGGAGGGGTGCTCTCCTCTTATCTACCAACATAGATAGGGCTCTAACTCCTCTAGCCCCACAGTGAAATAGGGTGCAGGCCAGGCAGCAGGCTGTTAGCCAACCTGCCAGCTTAGTGGAGTCTGCCAATAGCATAGTCAGTGTAGTCAGCTCAGCATACCATTGGACGGTTGTGCCAGTTGGCCATGGCGGTGTACCACATCTTAT